TCACCTGCCTCGATTTCGTGTTCTAGGCGTGACACCTTTATTCAGCATCTTATCCTGAGGATTTGCGGAGAGAGCATACCGCAAAATCTCTTGAAATCCACTATCTCCGTAGCAGGGGTTGATTTCCTGCCCACCTAGGATAGGCTTAACTTGACAGGTTAGCAGGATTGCCAATACCAGTTAATGAGATCCAACACACACTGAGGGCCTAGACTTTGCAATTCTGGGGTAAAATACTAATCCTTCTCAGGAGCCTTTTTCCCCTCAGGATCCGGAGATTACAGGCCTGGTGGAGATGGCGGATTTCGAGAGTTTTTACGCAGATAATTTTACAATTGGGATATTTGTGTGGGTGGGAATGTCTCTTTTGTTATATGATATGAATCATTTCCCAGCTATATATTTTCAAGACCCAGGCCAAATCTCCATGGCCCCGAAGAATTGTATGTAGTGTATACAATCTTTCCCCTACCTCCTCTTATTTTAGTATGGGGGATTAGTAGAAACTTGTCTTAGTCGAGTGATGATTCATGATTCAGTCTCCACAGGTGTCCTACGGTGCGGTTTTTGGGTATTAGTGGTGCATTTATAATATAACAGGTGCTTCCACGGCACTTTGTTTGTGGGAACTTCCGTGGCTTGGGCCACGAACACGTAACTCACATCCCGGAGACATTATAAAGCGGAGAGTACTATCCAGGATTTCACCTGTCCAGCTAAAGCCACAAAAGCCCCCTACACCGCAACCAAAGATCGACCAATAGGAGGGATAGGAGCGCATCTCCGGGTCTGTTATGGGAGAGTACTGGCTATCCTCAGGTGACAAAAAGCACAACACCCCCTCCTAGCATCAGGTTCGAGCCCATAAGTCCCTATTGGTCGACATTAAGCAGAATATGAGGGGGTTTCACACTATCACCGCTACCCGTGTCTCCGGAAGGGGGATTGGAACCTATTTGACCCTTCTATGCCCTTGTAATAGCCACTCTGAAATGGTGTCGATTACTGGTAGGGAGTCATGGGTATAGGAGATGCCATAGAGAGGTGCTCCTACGAGCGCGTGAATGATCTGTGCCCCCCCCCGCCCCCACTATTTCAAAACACACGAGTGGAGGGAGTAATCAAAAAATAATAATAATACCCTTTCCTGGAGCTAGTTATTTATGGCTGGCTATTTTCTGTGATTAGTGTTCTGTTCGACAGTCCAACGTACTTTATCTTGAAAATAATATTTTTTTTCACGTCCCCTACACTTCAAAATATCGATAAAGACAAGAGTAGGAACAGGTCGAACATGGGCTGAGCGTGATCTCCTGGTAAATCCGGTGAGCGCCATTCCATCAGTTGCGGTTGCTGTCGGACAGTGCAAGCCTGTCCATTTGGGTTTCTTCTTTCTGCGGACCAGCAGTGTAGGTTTCCTTCTCTCTTGCGATTACCTTCCGATCAAGGCGGGAACACAACAACTGGCCGCTTCCATACCTACCGCCGGTATCAATATCTTCCCCCAAGAGAAGATTGTGGGTACAGCCCATACCACACCAATGTAAAGGATGAATTCAACCTTCTGAATGAAAATTGCGCAGCTATGGCGCGGCCACCCCAATAGCTCGAACAGTAGTTGCCCTTATCGGCATTACCTATACCAGGGATTTCTATGCGGCCTATTCCCGGTTTTCCAAAGGGTATTAGCGTGGCTGTTTCCGTTTCTTTGGCTAATATGATGATCCTCCGACCTGTTGGGTGAGCGCTGCGTGTCGGAGTGTTTCGAAGAAGAAGGAAAAGGTTACGGAAGTGTGTGGCGTGAGCAAGACTAGTCCTAATAGTATCCAATAGTATCTTTATGTGTGAACAGCTCTCGGGTTTACGGATATTTGGTAACTAGGTTTTCGGTTCTTGTTTTGGGATTGATTTGTGTGCGTGTGTCATCCCTTGCATAGCCATAGGGACGGAAGAGTAGTACCGGTACTGCCCGGATGGAAGCTGTGGGGGCAGTTTCCACATTGGTCGCAAAGGCTACTAGCTTACTAATCTAATCAACCAAGAAACCGCCACCACGCGGTCGGCTTGGAGGCCAAGGATATGACGCTCGTCACAAAAACAAAATACTACAACAGTTTTAATCTAGCTTGCCCACTGAGGGTCTTCTATGGAAGCTAGCTTGCCGTATGTGGCATATGTGCCTTATAAATTGTGCCACTGTTTGGTCTACTATGTGGCGGTAACACGGTGCAAGTGATATGTGGCTCAACAGGGCGCGATACTTCTTTTAACCCTCTGGAATGAATCGGGGTGTTTAGAATGGGGTTGTTCGTTTGGTAAAGGTGGCCCTTTTCAGATGCGGTAGCCCGAAACCCCCTTGTCCGTGTGTGGAGCTAGCTAAATTGGAGATACCTAAATCTCGGGGAATGGGGAGGGTAGCGACTACCCGCGAGAGCCGGAACAATTGAACCTCATTCTAAAACGTCCAGAATTCCCCTAGAGAGGGAGGGAGGGGGGATCACCCGGGGGAGGGAAACTCAGTCCCAACCCTCCGCTGATACGAATAAAAAAAAAATATAACTGGTCTTACCAGGAGAGGCAGCTCCATTGTCCTGGTGTGAGGTTCAGTTATTTCAGTTCTCACAGTTTGGGCATGTGGCCCAGGTATTTGCCTAACCAAATACGGCACTGGTAGGTCATCTGTTTATCCCCGGCATAACCTTTGTAATTACACTGCACGGTGCAATTATTAAGCCTGGGATGACCCCCTCTTCTCCGAGGCATGGTTTAAGCTTATGGCCTGCAGTCGCACCCCACTATCCCGGATCTCGACAATCTGGATGCCTCGCTGTCGCGTATGAGCCTCCATGGGTCCCAAATTTCTCCCCACCAAAACTTGAGCTGTTGTCCTGGACCACCCGTTGTGGCGGAGGGATTTTTTAGATCTTGGCCGTCCGGTATAGCGGCGTGCGACTCTATTCATTCATGTGATTCGGCGATCAGACACTCCGAGAGTCAGAGATGGAGCCAAGAGGATCGCCACCTCCGCCGTGAGACTATACCGCAGACGGATATAAAATTCTTGAGGCCTGTCGGGGTTAGGGAAGTGCCCTATGTCTTGTGTTGGAGTGGTCGGCAAACAGGAAACCCATACCGGTAGTAGTCCTCGTAGTGACAACTACATCACGCCCTATCACTCGCGGATGGGGCTGCGTTCCCCAGAATATTGGGGAATAGCGGTATGGAAGCAATACCCCTATAACGGAAATCCATTGCCTCAAGTAATCCAAATAAAAAAAACTAGCATAGGCTGTTCCGCCACCTCGGTGACTACTGGCGGGGATCCACATGGCATTCCACGTGAAGTCTTTCCTTGGGGGAAAACATACCACATTATCATAAGCCTCCCAGGATCCTAATCGAGTCGGACTGAATACCGGTAGAGCACAAATGATCAATGCTTACTGGGTAGTTTTACCGATCCAGCTAGGCTTCCCGCCGCGGGTGCCATAAATACCTGGTACCGGTAAATAAGAAGGCGGGTTGTCACACTAGTGTGTTTGGGTTAAGTTACCCACCTTTTCATTTGAACTTTACGGACTCCAGCAGACGAGAGGCGCAGTCAGCATCCCACCCCACGCCCCGGACCTAAATGTGGGATACAGGGATGTGAGACTTGTGGCGCTAATTCTGCTAGAACTGGCACGGACTACACGGCATCGTACCTGTCCTTGTAAGGGTTGTCTTCCCGACCGGGGTTCATTCAGGCGTGGGGGCGATTCCCGTCCCCCCTGGAGTGCATTCGCTGGGTCTCTGGGTACTTGTACCTGGGAATGGGGTACCGGTATTGTGGGATACCGTGCCTTGGATTAATCTACCGGTACTGGAGTACCGGTATTGGGAGGATAGGGCTTGCAGGGTGGTGTGCGCGAGTGAGAGGAGGTGGTCTGGGTACTGTACCTGTATGAGGTGATACTGGTGTGGTAGAGTGGGTTGAGGATACTGCACTGCCGGGTCCGTTCTTGTCCTCCATTTACCGCAGCAGAGTAAACTTCTTCCGTCGGCCTAAGAAATGGGGCTTCCGCAGAGAGTGCAGAATATTACCCGAGAGAGCATCCACAATAACTAGCTTTTATTTACCGACCCCAACCCTAAATCTTGGGAGTCGGACGTTAGTGCGGCTAACTTCTTGTGCTACGCGACTCGAGCGGCCAAGCCAATTAGCTGACAAAAATACTGCAAATTCAGCACTTCAATGTGTGGTCCTTTCAAAACGATTCTCTCATCCAGCACGAACGCTACTCGATAGGTTTTGGAAGCAGCGAACGTCGCCCGGTTGGAGGTGCATAAGAACTACCGGGATACGATGTAAGCGGTAATCTCAACTGCCTGTGTGCAACAAGGTCCGCTCATGTCCATAAATGCGATGTTAGAGTGATCCAGCACCACCTACACACCGGTATACTTCAGAGGGTTTGCCCACCTTTGACCTGGGCCCGCTCGCAACTACCGGGATAATACGTCGGTCGGAAGGTTCTTTCTCTTCATCGAAGATGTGAACTTCTTCAGGAGTTTGGCGTAACCCTTATTGCAGCTCAGTGTTTACTTTTAGGTTAGTAAGTTTTCGGGGACACCGGGATAAGCGTCAGTTCGTCAGTTTGAGGTGCAGATTTCGTGCCGTACAGTAAGCGGCGCAACGGGCCAATCCGGTTCGAGCAATCTTGAACTTTCCCAGAACCCAGCGCAGGTGGAGCCCCAGCCCAGAACATCCTGACGAAACGCTCGACTTCTAAGTTAGTTATCGTGGTATTGGCTCGCTGTGTCTTCAATGCTTGCTAACAACGGTGTTTTGATAGAAAAAAGGAAAAAGAGAGAAATTCCCGTCTAGAAAAAATATAGATACAGAGAAGGTCATATGTTCAAGAGAAAAAATAGCACCCCAAAAAGAATAACACCCCAACCTCACTATGCAATGTCTAAACTACCCCAAGATTAAATTGAGAGAAATGTATGCTTGGTCCCTAACTGTCCACGGCAAATTGCCTCTCTCTGTGCTCCTTCTCCGCCTGAATATTTATCAGAATCGGTGACCTCTCGCGAATGAATTTCCCCCATTTATAGAACCCCCAGGGAATCGGCGCCAAAGTCGCCGCCAGAATACCCACCACAGTCATCGCCATATTGGCGCCCAAATCCTGAAAGAGCTTCGGTCCCACGAGTGGTAAAACCCCGCAAAGGACATTGCGGAATACGGCGCAGCCAGCAAGACAGCTTGCTGCAAAGAGGTCGTACGAGGACATGAGGTATGCGTTCCCGTGAATGAAGATCAAGGTGTTTGATATACCGAAGGGGACGCCGCTGAGGATTGACCAGATCGGGTGGATAGAAGTTGGGGAACAGGTCCAGGCAAACATGAAGAGGCTAACAGGGGAGAGGATTCCTGCAAGACAGACGATGAGAATTCTGGATTCCGGTGTTGGTAGGGAGGTTTCTGGATCAGGTTTGTGTAGGGAAACCAGTTTGTTATTGAGAGGTTCCATGCAGAGAGCGATTATTATTCCCAAGCCCAGACCTGTAAAGCATCAATACGGGTGACATACAAAATATAGGGAAAAGCTGATTACCTAGAAATGACAGTCCAGCGATGCCGGGAGCCCACCCCCGAATTTCTTGAAAGACAATTGGGTATGCTGTGAAATTGAGGTACAAGATCCCATACTGAACACCGATGTACAGGGCCCAAAACACGCAAATAGGCTCGGTGAAAAGCATTAATAATGGCCTCTTCATGTTCAGCTTCACAAGAGTCAACATGTCCCCCTCCCCAACCTTGTAGCAATACCTTGACATATAATTCTCGTCTTTCTTAGTTTTCCGTAGCATGGCGGCTTTTCTGCGCATCAGAACGGGGGTGTAAGTTTCGGGGACAAAGTACCCCACAATGACGAGAGCGGTTGAGAAGATAAGTGTGAGGTAATTCAAGTATTTCCACCCAAGCTGCTCATATATAAAACCGCCGAGCAGAGGCCCGATGACAGGGCCTTCGAGTGGGGCAATCATGAATATGTTGAATGCGAGCGCTTTGCCCTTCCCGCTGAAAAGGTCACCGAGCGAGCCGAGAGAGTTGGAAAAGGTCACGGATCCGACGAACGCACTGTATTTCCCCTATCAATATAAGAAATTCCATAGGCAGATTATGCGAGGCAGGTTGGAGGGTGACGGAGATTGACAAAACGTACGCGAAAAACCGGGAGGCAAGAATTGTTTCCAAGTTTTTTGCGAAACAAGCCGGTAGGAGGAATATGCAGAACAGGCCCATAGAGATCTGGTAAATAGGTCTTCGCCCAAAAAGCTCACTCATGGGGGCTAATAGCAGTGGGCCCAACGCAACTCCAATTTGGTACATGGTCAGACCTAGTGACACGCTGGTCTTTTGTGGGATATCAAATTCTTCCATCATTCCGCGGGTTCCAGAGAGGTAGGATGTCACGTAGAAAACTCTGAAATTATCGCTTTCGGTAAGTATTTACCCCGAATGTAGGAGGGATACGAATAGGATGCGACATACACCATGAGATATTGCATCGAGATCAAGAACAAGATACCAGTTTTCCGTGGGAGGCTCCAATTCAGTGGATTCTTCGGGTCCTGCGGTCCATCCCATTTCACCTCGTAATCTGTATCCAACACATTTTCCAAATCCTCAATTGTTCGCGGTGGCCCATAATCCCCCGAAAGCCCCTTTGATATCCTGCTCACTGCCGAAAATGCTCTTGTGAGAGCGCTTGCCCGTTCCGGTTGTAACTGGAAGGACAACGGACGTAGCTTGTACTCGAACCCTTCCTCTGAATAGATCGTCTGACGCTGATACTGTGTTCCTGGCCGCCGGTTGAAGCTCCAATTCCCAGACCTAAATTGCTCGGAGGAAAGGTGGGCGATATCCGTTGGCAAAGGAGTGTTAAGGTTCATTGTTCCGGATACTCCCAGATATCCACGACTATAATTTCCTTCGTCGGCCAGTGGTATAAAGCTCCAGGCAGACATGATCCGCTCGGAAGTAAACTCATCACCGATGTCTAGACTATCCTCTAGAAACCGGGCTCCCGGAGGGGCCGGTGTGATTTCGAAACCGGGGATGTGTATTTTGGTCATTTTCCTCATTGAAAATTTGAATATTGGTAGACCGACGGTGAGGATAATGGCTGGCTTCTTCTCCTACTTATAATATTCCTCCTCTGGTCCTCTTATGCTCGGAACTCTGCCCATATCGCACTTATACCCTTACTAGCTCAAGCGTATCACTAAGTCAGAGTGCGGCGGAGGTAGCAGAAAGCAGGGTATTTTTTTTTTTCCTGGAATATACTGTATGGGTCAACGGTCTCCCGGTTTAGTAAGGCCGGGCAGGAAGAGAAGGGATCCGGATCCGGACCCGGGCTTATATCCTCGGACTGCCGAGTAAAATAACAATTGAGGATTCGTATACACCACTTCTAATACCCATAGCTCCTGTACAGAGAATCGCTTCACGTGTTGATAAGTTACCCCACTCCATTTCCCCCATGTAATGGCTATGGCCTGATCCCACCGGTTTTCCCTCGTGGGGACAAGGCGATATTGTTTCAGAACACATAGGATTGGTCAGTAGTCACCCCGACTACTATTGCGGTTCTTGTATGGTAATGTAGTCTGCATACCACAGCTTTCCATCGATCGTAGCAGTACCTGCTGACAGATGTGGCCGTTCCATGGGACTGGTGGCTATGGTCCGTTGAACTCCCAATAGTTAGCCGGACACAATAGTAGATATGGAAGGAAAAGACTAACGTTGTGAGCTGCACTGGCAACCGGGACAAGGCATTACCAGTAAACAGACCTAGAAATTCAAGAGACGAGACATCACCCAATCATCCATCCACAAAACAATTCAGGATAATCAACTGTGTAACTGTTTGAGCAGTCCAACTGATGGCAGGATAAACCCTCAGTGTGCCCACGAGGTCGTCCAATTATATGCCTTGGGGGCTGGGGGACACTCCAGTTTTCTGCATGGCCAAAAATAAGCATTCCTCATCACTCGGAAAGCCCAATGGTCTCCTCGCGGTATTTCATGAGAAGCTAACCATATAACCCGATCCTATCGGAGAAGTACTTGCACAACCTTAGGGCTCTCTTCCGGTGCCGAAAGTTTAAAGTTATAGGCTACATCACCCTGCATGCGATGCGAATGCAAAGAACTTGGGACTTGAAGTTGCCTTGTTCGTTCAGGTTTACGGTTTGTAACAGTAGATCTGGATAATGTGGTACAGAAAGTATCATACCGGCAGTACGTCATGCCGGCAGTGTGTACGGCAACGCGTAGTATGAGGCACGGTTCGGGATGGTTGCTATTGGCCATGCCCGGTGAAATGGGTACCCCCAGGCGCTTAGGGTAGATTGGCATCCGATTCATCCAGTTATTTTCTCACGCTTACATCGCATTCTTGTCAACTCCACTCTATCACTGCCGCGTAAGTAGGCCCCCACGACTTGTGAAGACTAACGTTTCATCTTCTGTTCAATTGCTTATATCAAGTGAGGGATCATACAGGTGGGCCCTCTCCTACATGAGTCTGTGCAGAAAAACGTCCTCTGCACCCCCCTGCCATTGATACATTGTGGTGCCGAGCCCGGCAGTGCTGCAGCCGTAGTGGCGATTCCGGGCGCTGATCTGCTAAGTAGCCCGATAACAGCCATACAGTACGCAAGTACCCAAGTAACTTTGAGTGTTGTGATTCAAGTATCATACCCGCGATGAAAGCTACCTTACTGTAACGAGCACTGCACATAGACTACAGACACGCCAAGGAAAATATTATTAACAATAGAACATCGAAGAGGATCTAGGCCGTGTTGATCTAGACATCTAACATGGAGGACAGAATCAAGTACACAAATACATCAATTTATTAGGATCCTGGTTAGGTTTTGCTGACCACACTTTCGCCTTAACGGCGCCGAAATACCCGAGCCAGCCTCCAGGGAGGTCGGGTTGAGTTAAAGCCAACATTCCAGCTCTTCCCAGTTGAGTAGGGAGAGACCTAGTCGTGAGCGTGAGGAGAGAATGCACGGATCGGAAACCACACACCAAGCATAGCTCGAAGCCAACATACAGTTCTTATGGCCCGGAGCATTTTGGCGACAAGAATTTTAGTACGACCGTACATCTACGAGAAAATACTGTAAAATCTCTTGCGGTTTGCGATCTCAGCCAGTCCAGGATAGGTTTGGTTTGACAAGTTAACACAATTCCGTATACCAGATAATGTGAACCAACCTGTCCTGAAGGCTGATCTTTACAATGACAGGAAAGCACTAACACTTCTCAAGATTTTTGTCATTGAATCCGGAGATTAGGGGCGTGCCGGAGATGGCGAATTACAAGATATTTACTGTATGCACTTGGGGGTGCATGGAGCGGGGTTCTTGAAAGGATTACATATCGTAGAAGGTTTGCCGAAGGTCATCAGGCGCGTGTAAAACATTTCCTTAGAACAGTCTTAGATGCATTCCAGAACAATAGCCTTACCGGCAGCCCGGCACTGCGCCCAAGAGATCAGTGGAATCGGTTTCAGCTTGAAACACCGGCAAATCAATTCCGGTTAAGGAAGGATACTTTCTAGATCTCGCAATTTTCTTAACCAGATCTTTCAGGTGTAGCACTTGGCGAACTATGGGATAGCATAGCTCAGGATAATAGTACACACCATGGAGCACCGTATGCACCTACATTCCAACTACGGTACGGTAAACTTCTAAACCTGGGACTGGCATTAATAGACTAGAGAACTCCCAAATCGCTGTCTTTTCTTCCACCCAGGTTCCCTTGATACACCCGAGATATCCTGACCTAGTTCAGCCCAGTTTCACCATCGCCACGCGAACCAGGCTGGGTTTGAGATCTGAGTTTACTGTAGCCCACCTGGTTGCGTACCTGCATCCGAGCATAAGTGCCGCCAGCATTGCCGTTTCTCATTCACGTGTCCGGGAGGCCGGCGACGCAAACCTCCTGTAATGAGACACTTTGTGAATGAAGGATAATCTACAGCACTGGTGTGATAGGAGAAGTTTTTAAAAGGGAGAGCTCCCCTCTAGAAGCTTAAACCGAATTCATTGCACGGGGAACCGCGGAGCCCCCGCCGCGGCCCCACTTTTGTTTGCCATAGAAATGCTGCTGCTCGGCGCGGTACAATATGAGCCAAGTAGCGCCGAACACACAGATCGAGGCTTCAAATCCGTCCCAGAACATCGGTTTTTTCTGCCCAGATTATTTTTTGTTTTTTGTTTTTGTTAAACACCCTTCTCATATCTCCAATTCTGTGAAGTATGGTTTGCGGAGGGCTCGCCCATTCCGGGTGGTTTAAGCCGGCGGAATTTGTCCGTCAGGGCCGATTTGCAGGGTTCCAGTTTGAGCTGGTTTTTATACTTCTGGTCTCATGCATGATCACTCGCTAGGAGTTAGTGCCCGAACTGTGAGTATGGATGGGTGGTGTGGTTGATATCATAGCGTAGCGGCATATTGACTAGCCATCGTTTAAGTAGTCTGCCGTCTCAAAATGGTTTTTGGGACCAAAACGTGTTTTGACTCAATATTACAGGGTTTGGTCAGCAGTCGTTTTGAAAATGAATTCCGGGAAATTTCAAAAAGGGATTCACATTAAAGGGTGTTAACGACGTGCTGGAAACTGGAAATAACATGCTAAATGCGCTGCAAAGGGATATTTGCGGAAAGCATTTTGTAATCCTTCGTAACCCCCCCCCGCGTTTGGGATGACAAATTGATTGAACGACTGGGAGGCAAAAAGGCCTCTTAGCTGTTGTTCTTGGGCACAGTGCTCTACCGCTGCTTCTGGTATGGTGGGTGTGATAGTAAACCAACTTTTTAATCTAGTTTTTAATCTAGTTTTTCGTTATCAAGTTGTGCCTTCTGTTGAGCTCCTGATACCTATGGGACAGGCCCCTGCAATGCTCTCCCAGCTGGGGCCTAAGGGCGAGCGTACGGTGTGTTGATATCAGTGAGATTCAAAAAGGAGATAGTGTATCATAGTGGAAGCAAAAGCTGTGACTCCTTCAGTATTAATAAGGAAAAAGGCCTATATCACGATAAATTAAATAGGTGGGCAGCAAAAGATAGACGGCAGAAGAAAATTAAAAAAAAAAAACAACCAAAAAGTCCTATGAATCTTGCGTCACAAACTCTTCTCCACTAATTCCTAGTGGACTTCCGCTCCCGCAGACACAGTGTGTATTTATATTTAATTCATGTCCATATCTATGAAACTTCCATCAGCCTCGCTTATGACGCAGCGCGTCTGCTGTGTGAGTTATGCAAGAATACAAGCAAATGTCATTCAAGCTCAGTCATTGACAGGCATGGGATAACTTAGCCCGATGGGCACCAGAAACAAGAGGGAAACCAAAGGGGCGCACACACAGAAAGAAAGAAGCACAGAAAAGCGCCGGTACGTCACGGATATATACAAAATTGAGAAGACAAAACTCAAAAAATATGGCAACAGGGGACGCAACAGGGGTGGGCACTCGGAAGCACGGGTGGGATAAGGGGTCGATCTAGGGGACTAATCCAGCGCTCGAGATCCGCGGTAACTTGTCAATCCGCATATAGAGGAACTACTCCTGGCGGGCTTAGGGTTTCGTTTTTTCAAGTTCGCTCCCCTGCTAGGATGGCAAGTCGAGTGTATAGAGGGAGAAATAGCAAGTTTTCCCTTGGATATCAATATCTGCTAGCCCTTTTAGAAGGGGATTCAGATACCCGCATGTCGGATGACACGGCTAAGAGTTCTGTTAATTAGAGGCTTGCTAAATATTAGGGAATCAAATCTATCCGTCGCCGCAGCAACTTGGCAATGCTCTTGTGCCCGTTCCCAGTAGCCTATGACAGCCGTGTCCGTCCATATAGGGCTGTCAGCTGTGTCGGGGCTGACATCGTTCCGTTCCACCAGTATCCTCACAACCCTCTTATGCCCTCTTCTAGTAACCCGGGAAACGCTGTATCGCCCTTGAGGTCAATTTCCTGCACATCCCATTTACCCACCTCCAGTAAAGCAACTATTACCTCCACGTGTCCTAGATATGCGGCAGTGTGAAGCCCAGTA